TGCTGTTTTTGTAGAAACTTGTTGGATGTTTTCTGCTGTTTTTGTCGATAGCTGTTGGATGTTATCTGATGTTTTTGTAGAAACTTGTTGGATGTTATCTGCTGTTTTTGTAGAAACTTGTTGGATGTTATCTGCTGTTTTTGTCGATAGCTGTTGGATGTTATCTGCTGTTTTTGTAGAAACTTGTTGGATGTTATCTGCTGTTTTTGTAGAAAGCTGTTGGATGTTATCTGCTGTTTTTGTAGAAACTTGTTGGATGTTATCTGCTGTTTTTGTCGATAGCTGTTGGATGTTATCTGCTGTTTTTGTAGAAACTTGTTGGATGTTATCTGCTGTTTTTGTCGATAGCTGTTGGATGTTATCTGCTGTTTTTGTCGATAGCTGTTGGATGTTATCTGCTGTTTTTGTCGATAGCTGTTGGATGTTATCTGCTGTTTTTGTAGAAACTTGTTGGATGTTATCTGCTGTTTTTGTCGGTAGCTGTTGGATGTTATCTGCTGTTTTTGTAGAAACTTGTTGGATGTTATCTGCTGTTTTTGTCGATAGCTGTTGGATGTTATCTGCTGTTTTTGTAGAAACTTGTTGGATGTTATCCGCTGTTTTTGTAGAAAGCTGTTGGATGTTATCTGCTGTTTTTGTAGAAACTTGTTGGATGTTATCTGCTGTTTTTGTCGATAGCTGTTGGATGTTATCTGCTGTTTTTGTAGAAACTTGTTGGATGTTATCTGCTGTTTTTGTCGATAGCTGTTGGATGTTATCTGCTGTTTTTGTCGATAGCTGTTGGATGTTATCTGCTGTTTTTGTCGATAGCTTTTGGATGTTATCTGCTGTTTTTGTAGAAACTTGTTGGATGTTATCTGCTGTTTTTGTCGGTAGCTGTTGGATGTTATCTGCTGTTTTTGTAGAAACTTGTTGGATGTTATCTGCTGTTTTTGTCGATAGCTGTTGGATGTTATCTGCTGTTTTTGTAGAAACTTGTTGGATGTTATCTGCTGTTTTTGTAGAAACTTTTTGGATGTTATCTGCTGTTTTTGTCGATAGCTGTTGGATGTTATCTGCTGTTTTTGTAGAAAGCTGTTGGATGTTATCTGCTGTTTTTGTAGAAACTTGTTGGATGTTTTCTGCTGTTTTTGTCGATAGCTGTTGGATGTTATCTGCTGTTTTTGTAGAAACTTGTTGGATGTTATCTGCTGTTTTTGTCGATAGCTGTTGGATGTTATCTGCTGTTTTTGTAGAAACTTGTTGGATGTTATCTGCTGTTTTTGTAGAAAGCTGTTGGATGTTATCTGCTGTTTTTGTAGAAACTTGTTGGATGTTATCTGCTGTTTTTGTCGATAGCTGTTGGATGTTATCTGCTGTTTTTGTAGAAACTTGTTGGATGTTATCTGCTGTTTTTGTCGATAGCTGTTGGATGTTATCTGCTGTTTTTGTCGATAGCTGTTGGATGTTATCTGCTGTTTTTATCGATAGCTGTTGGATGTTATCTGCTGTTTTTGTAGAAACTTGTTGGATGTTATCTGCTGTTTTTGTCGGTAGCTGTTGGATGTTATCTGCTGTTTTTGTAGAAACTTGTTGGATGTTATCTGCTGTTTTTGTCGATAGCTGTTGGATGTTATCTGCTGTTTTTGTAGAAACTTGTTGGATGTTATCCGCTGTTTTTGTAGAAAGCTGTTGGATGTTATCTGCTGTTTTTGTAGAAACTTGTTGGATGTTATCTGCTGTTTTTGTCGATAGCTGTTGGATGTTATCTGCTGTTTTTGTAGAAACTTGTTGGATGTTATCTGCTGTTTTTGTCGATAGCTGTTGGATGTTATCTGCTGTTTTTGTCGATAGCTGTTGGATGTTATCTGCTGTTTTTGTCGATAGCTTTTGGATGTTATCTGCTGTTTTTGTAGAAACTTGTTGGATGTTATCTGCTGTTTTTGTCGGTAGCTGTTGGATGTTATCTGCTGTTTTTGTAGAAACTTGTTGGATGTTATCTGCTGTTTTTGTCGATAGCTGTTGGATGTTATCTGCTGTTTTTGTAGAAACTTGTTGGATGTTATCTGCTGTTTTTGTAGAAAGCTGTTGGATGTTATCTGCTGTTTTTGTAGAAACTTGTTGGATGTTATCTGCTGTTTTTGTCGATAGCTGTTGGATGTTATCTGCTGTTTTTGTAGAAACTTTTTGGATGTTATCTGCTGTTTTTGTCGATAGCTGTTGGATGTTATCTGCTGTTTTTGTAGAAAGCTGTTGGATGTTATCTGCTGTTTTTGTAGAAACTTGTTGGATGTTTTCTGCTGTTTTTGTCGATAGCTGTTGGATGTTATCTGCTGTTTTTGTAGAAACTTGTTGGATGTTATCTGCTGTTTTTGTAGAAACTTGTTGGATGTTATCTGCTGTTTTTGTCGATAGCTGTTGGATGTTATCTGCTGTTTTTGTAGAAACTTGTTGGATGTTATCTGCTGTTTTTGTAGAAAGCTGTTGGATGTTATCTGCTGTTTTTGTAGAAACTTGTTGGATGTTATCTGCTGTTTTTGTCGATAGCTGTTGGATGTTATCTGCTGTTTTTGTAGAAACTTGTTGGATGTTATCTGCTGTTTTTGTCGATAGCTGTTGGATGTTATCTGCTGTTTTTGTCGATAGCTGTTGGATGTTATCTGCTGTTTTTGTCGATAGCTGTTGGATGTTATCTGCTGTTTTTGTAGAAACTTGTTGGATGTTATCTGCTGTTTTTGTCGGTAGCTGTTGGATGTTATCTGCTGTTTTTGTAGAAACTTGTTGGATGTTATCTGCTGTTTTTGTCGATAGCTGTTGGATGTTATCTGCTGTTTTTGTAGAAACTTGTTGGATGTTATCCGCTGTTTTTGTAGAAAGCTGTTGGATGTTATCTGCTGTTTTTGTAGAAACTTGTTGGATGTTATCTGCTGTTTTTGTCGATAGCTGTTGGATGTTATCTGCTGTTTTTGTAGAAACTTGTTGGATGTTATCTGCTGTTTTTGTCGATAGCTGTTGGATGTTATCTGCTGTTTTTGTCGATAGCTGTTGGATGTTATCTGCTGTTTTTGTCGATAGCTTTTGGATGTTATCTGCTGTTTTTGTAGAAACTTGTTGGATGTTATCTGCTGTTTTTGTCGGTAGCTGTTGGATGTTATCTGCTGTTTTTGTAGAAACTTGTTGGATGTTATCTGCTGTTTTTGTCGATAGCTGTTGGATGTTATCTGCTGTTTTTGTAGAAACTTGTTGGATGTTATCTGCTGTTTTTGTCGATAGCTGTTGGATGTTATCTGCTGTTTTTGTAGAAACTTGTTGGATGTTATCTGCTGTTGTTGTAGATAGTTGTTGGATGGTATCTGCTGTTTTTGTAGATAGTTGTTGGATGGTATCTGCTGTTTTTGTAGAAACTTGTTGGATGTTATCTGCTGTTTTTGTAGAAACTTGTTGGATGTTATCTGCTGTTTTTGTAGAAACTTGTTGGATGTTATCTGCTGTTTTTGTAGAAACTTGTTGGATGTTATCTGCTGTTGTTGTAGATAGCTGTTGGATGGTATCTGCTGTCATGTTGTGATGTGCTCAGCGAATCTCCTAGATCCTGTTCGCGCAGAGAACTTGGCAAGGAATTTGTTCCAGAATTTTTTGTACAAAAACGTGTCTAATATCTTCTAGGCGAGGGTCTTGTCTCTCTCTCTGCTTTGTTGCGAACATGGGGAGTAATTTGAAGCTATAAATAGATGGGTTCAAAGGTTGACTCACCAACAAGTTTTTAAAACGTTGTTGCATGAAAATAGATAAATTATTCCGAGTTATTTCCAGCGTAATTGGATGGTACTAGGCAATGCCCCAGATATCAGCGTAAGATTTACTTAGCGTCACCACTTTTCAAATCTGCCCGTTCCTGGTTGCATGCGTGACGTCAGACCTCTTGAACTGATTGCTTTGTTGATATCGTTTCCATCTCGGTCTGATTGCAAGCCTGTCATAGCGTCCATTTGCCTGATTGCTGGCTTCTCCATTCTGATGGGGGACGGCTTTATCCACGAGTCTGAGTCTATTTAGTTCACGAGTCTGAGAGTCTGAGAGACTACCAGTTCACGTGTTCTACCCAGCGTTGCTCAAATTTTTGCTGATTTCAACCGAACAATGGCACTGTCCAGTTGGGCATATCCCAATTATTGAACCCTGTCTAGGGCTATATCTATCCGCCTTCACGAAATCTTATCCACATTTTAGGAGATAAATAGCCAGGCCAGACTAGGTCCGGTGTCAGAGATAAGTTCATTCTGTCAGGTGCCCGCTAGCCACCTTTTGGTGCCCGACAATAACTAGCCACCTTTTGGTGCCCGGCAATAACTAGCCACTTTTTGGTGCCCGGCAATAACTAGCCACCTTTTGGTGCCCGGCAATAACTAGCCACCTTTTGGTGCCCGGCAATAACTAGCCACTTTTTGGTGCCCGGCAATAACTAGCCACTTTTTGGTGCCCGGCAATAACTAGCCACCTTTTGGTGCCCGGCAATAACTAGCCACTTTTTGGTGCCCGGCAATAACTAGCCACCTTTTGGTGCCCGGCAATAACTAGCCACTTTTTGGTGCCCGGCAATAACTAGCCACCTTTTGGTGCCCGGCAATAACTAGCCCGGCAATAACTAGCCACCTTTTGGTGCCCGGCAATAACTAGCCACCTTTTGGTGCCCGGCAATAACTAGCCACCTTTTGCTGCCCGGCAATAACTAGCCACCTTTTGCTGCCCGGCAATAACTAGCCACCTTTTGGTGTCCGGCAATAACTAGCCACCTTTTGGTGCCCGGCAATAACTAGCCACCTTTTGGTTAGTCATCGTGTTTGCCGTAGATGTGTCTATAAAAAAAACATTGACCACCCGAAGTAGTGTTTCTTCAACCCGGCTCTGTATTTTTGTTTACATTTGAAAGCTGGCTTTAAGAATTTGAGTTCATTAAAATTTGTCTAATCACACTAATGAGTTTACTCTAACTTAATTAAAACGTTTTTTTTTAATTTCAGGCTACCTATAATACAAGGTGGAAAACAATGGCAAAGTGTGTGTTACATGTTACTGTACCAGCTAGATTTGCTATATCAGCAAGAGGCACTTCGTCAGCTACAGCTACTGACCACTGTACCAGCTACAGCTATTGACCACTGTACCAGCTAGGGCTACTGTACCTAGAGTGTTATAGTGGTTGCTGTACCAGCTGAAGTTGACTAATCTTCAATTGACCACTGTACCAAATAGATCACCGTACCACTTTACCAAACAGTTTTACAAGAGTCCCTACATAAGCATTATTTATATCATCGTACAACTGTACAACTAAGGATTGTTGTACCCAATAGTACCATCTATACAAGTAAAGACACCACTGTACCATATATAGGGACCGCTGTGCCAGACACTGCATCAGAGTGTACCACCACTTACAGGGACCACCCTGCCGTCTATAGGACGTGTCTGAAACTGTGAGATTCGAATGGATACTTCCCGTCTTCTCTAGCCATGGTTGTATTGTATGAACTGACCAGTGAAACATCCTAACTTTTCTATATGAGCTCGGCTTACCATGGATGTCCATGTATTAAAATGTCCCTAATGGCGTGTAACTGACCTTTCTGTCATGGCTGCTGGACACTTGGACATGAGCACATCCCCGACATACAGCGCCGGCCACATGTCCAACTACAATGTCGACCCATCGCACGCCCCAGCCCAGGCTTACTACAATGTCGCCACGACGCCCGTCCCCCTAGAGACCAACCTGAGCGAGTGTGACCAGATCATGTCGCAACTGCCCGGACCCCCACCCCTCTACGACAACCCGGTCCGGCTGACCATCTCCGCCGTGCTGATCTCTGTCCCCATCCTGACCATGTTCGGCAACTGTGTGGTCATCCTGGCTGTGGCCACCCACAGAAAGCTCCGCACCATCACCAACGCCTTCGTCGTGTCCCTAGCCCTGGCCGACATGTGCGTGGCCCTGTTCGTCATGCCGTTCTCCATCTACCAGCAGCTCAACAACAAGGTCTGGCACCTGGGGCCCGAGCTCTGCATGCTCTCCTCCAGCCTGGACGTCATGATGTGCACCGTCTCCATCTTCCATCTCTCCTGCCTGGCTATTGACCGCTACCTGGCCATCTGCAGGCCTTTCCTACACGAGCGCTTGACGGTCCGCTGGATCTGTGTCATGTTGACCTTGTGCTGGGTCACGCCCATTTTCATTTCTTTTATTCCGATATTTAACGGCTGGAACCATATAGGAATCGAAGACTTAGTTTCCTGCATGTTTCCCTCAGACGCCGACGTCTGCAACTTTATCGTCAACGTCCCCTTCGCCATCATCTGCTCGCTGATTGCCTTCTACATCCCCGTGATATTCATGGGCGCCTGTAACGCTAAGATCTACCTGGCCGCCATAAAGCAGGCCCATCAGATCCGCACACTGGAGGCCGCCGGCAACCACAACCACTACAGCCACTGCAAACGGAAAAGCAAATTCAAACAAGAATCTAAAGCGGCCAAAACTCTGGGCATAATTATGGGATGTTTCTCTGTCTGCTGGTTCCCCTTCTTCATCATGAACGTGATCGACCCGCTGATTGGCTACTCGATTCCCTACGTGCCGTGGCAGATAGCGCTGTGGCTGGGCTACATCAACTCCCTCATGAACCCGCTGCTCTACTACTACTTCAACAGGAACTTCTACAACGCCTTCCGGCGCCTGCTCTCCTGCAAGGTCTGCAAGGGGGTCCGGGACTACGAGGAGGACGCGCTCAACGCCACGCAGATGTCGGAATGACTAGCGGCGTCCCACCGTGAGGGCCATCGCCGCATCAGTGGCCATAGCTCGGCCAGCAGCACCACGGCCAACCTGCTGGCCCGCCACAGCAACGGCATCGAGGAACTTCACGTGGGACGCAGCTTCAGCTCCAACATCCGCGACAGCTCGGAGCACAACTTCCGCATCACGTCCAGCCTGACGGCCGAGACCATCGCTGACCACACGGGCTACTCCTGACAGGAGCTGACCCCTAGGGCTCTTTACTCTTTGAACATGGAGGAGTGGCTCGAGTGATGGTCAAGGTCACGACCTTTCACCTGCCACAACCTTGCCTGTGTATAAATTTCATCATTTTGAACCAGCGGATTGGTTGGTTTGTTGTTTCCTTTCCGATCTACTGTGATGGGATGTGGCGAGGTAAAATACAGCTGGCATTTAGAGAACTCAAATACGTCTTTATTTGATCTGTCGACCATTCCGGTAGAGATACGAGGCTTTTATTTTAAAGAGGGAGCATTTGGGCACCTTGCTCAGGACATGGACACATGGACACCTCACCAACAACTGTCTGCCCACTAATCCTTAGTGTGTCCTCGCCTCAACTAGTGCCCCCCTCTCCCCCCCCCCCCCCCCACTGTATCATCAGTGAATTCTTGCGACTATTTATTAAAGTGACCCTAAATATAAATGTTCTATTTTTCTACCATCGCATACATTGTACGTCTAACTGTTTCATCATTCGCTGGGCTCTGGATGCCACAATCACGTGACAGGCTATCCAGCGGTGGATACAATCCAGCGGTGGATACAATCCAGCGGTGGATACAATCCAGCGGTGGATACAATCCAGCGAGGATAATAAATGTAGAGTGTCAGGGTGTCTGAGATGTTGGTACGGACACAACAACTGTGGAGGACAGCGTTTCTTTGTTTTGTGTTTACCTCAAGTCACGTGATGTTTACTAACTGATCTCCAGGCGAGAAGATTCCAGAGTTATTTATACATTCTAACAAGGCCCAACTTTTATCAACCCGACTAAGCTAAACCAACCCACGCTTAACCCCACTTGACAGTTCCTTGACAAAATTTTAAACCGACCCTAACCTAACTAGACCGAACTAAATCCTAACTAACCCGACCTAACCCTAACTGGACCACATGTAAACGTTAACTCAAGTGTTCTACACATTAAAATTGATGTGCCGGTTTAACTCATCCATTAAATGTGTTTACTGTCAACTTACACTATTGATTAGAACTGTAATATATCTATTTGTACATAGTGTGGCGATAATTTCCCCACCCTCCGTCCAGCCCCACCCCGAGCCGCCTTTTCTCCCCCTCCCCTGAAGCCGATCATTGAACAGAAGCATGAAAAATAAATGTTTTTTCTAGTCCCTTGTGGTTTCCTTGTGACGTCACCGTGCCAGCCAATCAAATGCGACTTCCTGTTTTGTTTAACTTAGGAAATCAAAAAGATGTCATTCCCGTGAGGCTATCTCTATGTTTTCATCTAAAGAGCAGGTAGACTTGCGAAACAAATTCTATTTAACAGACCAGACAGTTGTACTTGCTTTTACTGAAGCAACAGTCGCGCTCAAAATAGGCTTGATTTAAAATTCAAATCTACTCAAATCAGGTCTTAATTAAAATTCAAATGTACTCAAATGAGGTCTTAATTAAAATACAAATGTGGAACAAATAAGATCTTAAGTAAAATTAAAATGTCGTACTCAAATTGGGACTTAAAATTAAATTGTCGCATTCAAATTAGAAATTAATTAACCTTCGCCTAAGCTACAACAAGCCTACATAAACAGCGACGTTTAGAATGTACCCGGTTTCTTCTTTTTGTTTTGGACATTGTCCAGTTCTATAAGCCGCCATCTTATTTTGGGCAATATCTAATTAGCAAGCAGCAGCTGTTGTTATGTGGTAATTAAAAAGTTGTGAGAGCGATCATGATATATGCAACATTAGGACTTCTTCAATAAAAATCATGGTATGCAAGGTTAGGACTTCTTCAATAAAAATCATGGTATGCAAGGTTAGGACTTCTTCAATAAAAATCATGGTATGCAAGGTTAGGACTTCTTCAATAAAAATCATGGTATGCAAGGTTAGGACTTCTTCAATAAAAATCATGGTATGCAAGGTTAGGACTTCTTCAATAAAAATCATGGTATGCAAGGTTAGGACTTCTTCAATAAAAATCATGGTATGCAAGGTTAGGACTTCTTCAATAAAAATCATGGTATACAATTTTGGACTTCTTCAATAAAGATCGTGGTATACAAGGTTAGGACTTCTTCAATAAAAATCATGGTATTCAAGGGTAGGACTTCTTCAATAAAGTTTTGGTTGAAGTAAAAGACAACCTTTTCGATGTATTAAAGTCTTCTCGTGTAAAACATAGTCCAAGTTTAAGACTAGATCTAGGTATTGCTGTATCAGAACCTTCTAGTGTAAAACTCTCGCCGACGTTTGCTCACACAGTCCGTCTCTAACGTGACACCCCCCCCCCCCGCACACCTGTATACAGACGTGACACCCCGCACACCTGTACATAGACGTGACCATCTTAACCTGCCTACCTGTACAGAGCGTGACAATTTTAGCGCACCTACGTGTACTAAACGTGACATCCCAACCTACCCACTTGTACATAAACCTACCCACCTGTACATAAACCTACCCACCTGTACATAAACCTACCTACCTGTCTACAAATGTGATAGTCTCACGGCCTCGCCCTTGTTCTACTCTACAAGTGATTGCCTCACCCTGCCTACGTGTCTAAATGTGATAGTCTCACTGGTCTATTAATAGCACACACCACCTGACAACACACGTGATCTCTGTACATAATTAGTGTTGGCGGTGTCTATGTTTATTTATTGACATCATAGCTGTCTACAATGATGTATGTTCTGTGTTTAAAATGTAAATCTTTTCCGCTGATTTTAGTGGAATTGTATGTCTCCAGTATGTTGGAACTCTGTAGAAGTCCGTGGTTTTACTTTGAATTGTATTTGTCTACTACATTTGTAGAAGTCTGCTATTTATTTGCAGAGAGATTGAAAGGACCGATATTAAACTTCTACAAGCACAATAAATTTTTTTGTTTTTTTTTTCTATTCCAAAATTTTGTTTGCAATAGATGGATCTAAAGCAACATAATTTTAATCTTAAGAAACATAATCTTGATCTAAAGCAACATAATCTTGATCTTAGAACACTTAATCTTGATCTTAAGAAACATAATCTTGATCTTAAGACACAATCTTGATCTTAAGACACATAATCGACCTTAAGAAACATAATCTTGATCTTAAGACACATAATCGACCTTAAGAAACAAAATCTTGATCTTAAGACACATAATCGACCATAAGAAACATAATCTTGATCTTAAGACACATAATCGATCTTAAGAAACATAATCTTGATCTTAAGACACATAATCGACCTTAAGAAACATAATCTTGATCTTAAGACACATAATCTTGATCTTAAGAAATATAATCTTGATCTTAAGACACATAATCGACCTTAAGAAACATAATCTTGATCTTAAGACACATAATCTTGATCTTAAGAAATATAATCTTGATCTTAAGACACATAATCGACCTTAAGAAACATAATCTTGATCTTAAGACACATAATCTTGATCTTAAGAAACATAATCTTGATCTTAAGAAACATAATCTTGATGATGTTATGACACGTCTTCATGTTAGAACCCTTATCTTGATGCTAAACTTTATATTCGCTTATCGGCAAGAATATCCATACAAGTAAACAATGCCTGCAATATATCAAGTATATTAAAGTGTATGAATTACATTATGCGCATAAAACCTCAGCTAACCCAATGCCTCCACTCCCCCCCCCCCCCAGCTCCCCATCAAACTGCTTCCAACTGCGCTAAATATATCGTGTGATAATGACACGCGTGCCCCACCCACATGAAACATCTTCCTCCGACCCCTCCTCCGATCCCAAACCACCTACTCTCACCCCCCCCCCCGCATCCGATAACTAACCAGCTAGTCACTTCTGCCCCTACTAATCAATCCCCCCCTTACACATACCATCCCCCCCCCCCCCCCCAATCAATAACATTTTCTCATAACATTGCCGTGAGTGGAGCGCCAGCTAAAGGTTAGTGAAGAATGTCAAGGTCATTGAAACAAATCCTACGTTGGGGTGGGGAGGGGGGGGGGGGGTCTGGGTCTAGAAAACGTACTATTGAGCGTCACTGATACGGTGGTGGGGGGTTTGGGTGGTGGGGGTGGGGGGGGGTCTGGGTGGTGGTGGGGGGGGGGGTCTGGGTCTAGAAAACGTACTATTGAGCGTCACTGATACGGTGGGGGGGTCTGGGTGGTGGGGGGGTCTGGTTCTAGAAAACGTACTATTGAGCGCCACTGATAGCTATACGGTGAGCTAAAGCTGGTCGGTACGTGTGTCATGCCAAACTCTGCCTATCAGATACAGCAGACAAATCCATGGATAAGGCAGCAGGTAATCCATGGATAAGGGAGCAGGTAATCCATGGATAAGACGAGCTTTTCAACCTAAACTGGAAGTTGGGACGACACCATCGCTAGACTGTGCTAATCAAATAAGACACGGATTACAGTGGCGCTAATTCGTGGGAGATTTGGGTGCAGCAAGATTGAACCGCTACGTGTTGGTCTACTTGTTTGATGTCCAGCTCCTCAGTGCTCAGTACACAAGTGTCATTGAGCAAGCCCACATAGTGTACAGCTTGACATTGAACAAGCCCAAATAGTGTACAGCTTGACATTGAAAAAGCCCACATAGTGTACAGCTTGACATTGAGCAAGCCCACATAGTGTACAACTTGACATTGAACAAGCCCACAGAGTGTACAACTTGACATTGAACAAGCCCACATAGTGTACAACTTAACATTGAACAAGCCCACATAGTGTACAGCTTGACATTGAATAAGCCCACATAGTGTACAACTTGACATTGAACAAGCCCACACAGTGTACAGCTTGACATTGAACAAGCCCACATAGTGTACAGCTTGACATTGAAAAAGCCCACATAGTGTACAGCTTGACATTGAGCAAGCCCACATAGTGTACAACTTGACATTGAACAAGCCCACAGAGTGTACAACTTGACATTGAACAAGCCCACATAGTGTACAACTTAACATTGAACAAGCCCACATAGTGTACAGCTTGACATTGAATAAGCCCACATAGTGTACAACTTGACATTGAACAAGCCCACACAGTGTACAGCTTGACATTGAACAAGCCCACATAGTGTACAGCTTGACATTGAGCAAGCCCACATAGTGTACAGCTTGACATTGAACAAGCCCACATAGTGTACAGCTTGACATTGAGCAAGCCCACATAGTGTACAACTTGACATTGAACAAGCCCACACAGTGTACAGCTTGACATTGAACAAGCCCACATAGTGTACAGCTTGACATTGAGCAAGCCCA